ATCCCACTGCCTGCTAGAAGGAATGCATGTGTATACCAGGAGGGGAAGTCGTGTTGGTAGTTGACTTTAGACACTGTCTACTCTAGGTGGCAACTGAAAATTACTAGACTGAAAATTACTTGATGAAAAACTCCTGTTACCTTAGACCCTTGATGATGGGAACTTGGGCTCTGTAGAGGGATGCTGTCATGCTCAGCTAAAAGATACCCCAGATTAAAATCCAGATATAATGGATTTAATGGATGCTCATATAATGTCAAGGTTTTCCTACAGTTATCACAAAATGCTTACCAGGTGTACAATCTGTGGACAGTTTTAATTTTATTTTTCAGTTACTAAAAAACTATTATAAATGGAGAGCAGAATGTCCAGAACTAAGCGCAGATCTCCAACCTGGAAGCATCCTTGGCCTTTTGAAGGCTGGCTACCATGGAGTTCTGAGATCCAGGGATCCCACTGGCAGCAAAGTTCTTATTTACAGAATTGGTGAGTCACACACAGCTCTTCTTCTCCCCCACCTTCCTTCTCCTCCTCCGCCTCCTCTCTCCTCATATTTTTCATTGATTGCCGAATAGAATGTTTTAGTGTCTATGTTTAAGAATTTAGGTTTCAATTTATGTTTTTAGGTTTCAACCTCAGTGTACTTTAGGTCTTAACATTTACCAAATATAAGAAAATGTTGGCAGTTTTGAGAAAATTAACAGAATTTGGCGAAAATCCTACTTGTACTTTTCCAAACAGTCAACTGTATAAAATAAAAGAAAAATGGGAAGAGCAATAGTGGGAAAAAGTGAAAGCGCTCAAGATAAAGTGTTCAAAAAAAATGTTTAGTAGGAAATAAAAAGAAAAAAAAAGAATTCTGAACTATAAGATATAAGCCCCATGTATTCATAGATTTTGTCTCTTATGTTCATTGCTGTGTCCCAAGCACTGAGCATAGGGCCTGGTACACGGAAAGTGCTCATTAAATATTTGTGGAATGAGTGAGTGAATGACCAGTTCAATAATGCCCAGGGCTGAGGAGCAAGGGACTCATTTCTCTGCGTGGAAGAAGGTGCAGAGTAGGGACCAAGAACCCCTGGGAATTGTTGCAGACACTTTATTCCATTGGCACCTTTTTCTTTTCACGTTTTCTCTTTTTCATTATTAGGCATTCCTAGTGTTTTGTGAGTGGGTGCTTTATCCATTCAGGCTGCTACAACAAACTGTCATAGACTATGTGGATTAAAAAATAGAAAGTTATTTCTTACAGTTGTAAAGGCTAAGAAGTCCAAAATCAAGGGACCCGCAGATTTGGTTCTGATGAGACCCTGTGTTCTGGGTTCATAGACATTTTCTCACTCTAACCTCATATCAGTGAGCAAAGGTCTCTCTTGGGCCTCTTTTCATAAGGGCACTAATTCCATTTTTGAAGTCTCTTATCCTCATGACCTGATCACTTCCCAAAGACTTCCCCACTGATATCATGCATGACCTTGGGAGTTAGGATTTCAACATATAAATTTTTTTGTGGGGGGACATAGACATTCAGACTACAGCATTTGGTGACCTACTTCTGTTGCCTGTTTAGTTCTGTGTATGATTTTAAAAGCCAAGTGAAAGGGAACTCTATAGCTCAGTTGAAAGGACAAATAAAACCAACTTTTTGTGAGCTGCATTTTATGAATTATCATCTTATAGAAGTTTCATCCTTTTTTCTTTCTTTTTTCAGATGGGGTCTTTCTGGGCTCTCTGGGCTAGCCTTGAACCCCAGGGGTTCCATCATCCCCCTGCCTCAGCCTGCCAGAGTAGCTGGGACTAGAGAAGTGTGCTATGATATCCAGCTAACTTTTAAATCTTTAAAGAATTAAACTTTATGTATTTATATTTTCAGCCCGCTTAGAGATAAGATACTTGCCTATAATGAAAGCTTGGTATCTGGCAAAAAGATACTATATTTAATTCTTGAAAGGGTATCAGATGATCAAATAGAGTTATTCTGTTTTCTTTTTATTTATTTTTTGTCCCAGCTTGTTTGTCAAAAAAAAAACCAAACAAACCTGAGTTAATCATTAAGCCATTATCTATAAAGCAGACATTAAAATGACCTTTCTGTTCTTTCATGTCTCCTCTAGTGCCAGAGGCTATTGAATGATTTGTCAGTCATAAGTTCCTTGAACTCCTCAGGGATAGGGTTGCCAGTGTTCGTGTTTTATTTAGCAAAGAAACCTACATATTATAAGAATATAGGGTGCCCAGTCATATTTGAATTTCAGATAAAGAATATTTTTGAAGTATGCATGGGGCATAGTTGTGCTAAATAATTATATCATATTTATCATAAATTCAGCTTTAACTGTGTGTTCTATATTTTATCTGGCAAATCTATTAAGAGTTCCCAGGAACATAAAACTGAAATTCATAGCAAGGTTTTGGGCTCTGCAGTGCCTGACTGAATATTCTCTCTCTCTCTCTCTCTCTCTCTCTCTCTCTCTCTCTCTCTCTCTCTCTCTCTCTCTCTCTCTCTCTCTCGTCTTACCTCCTCTCTGGTTAGGAGCCACTTGGGCAAAATAAAAAGTAAAAATGACATTTTGGTAGTGAGAAAGAAAACATGCTCTTTTGGTCATAAGTTCTTCTTAAAGACTAGCCAGCACTATCTCATCAAACTTTCTATGATGATGAAATATTTTTATAGTAGCCACCAGCCATCTGTGGCTACTGAACCAACTTGACATTGGCTCAGACTATTAAGTTAGTTGACTCAGAAATTTAGGTCATGAAAATATTTTGATCTGTAAACTTCATTTGGCTCATCACCTAGTGTCTGAAGGAGTATTGTATTTTTTTAGTCATATTTATTTTTCAAATGCTTACCATGAACCTGAGGGTTTTAAAAAGCAAGAGTAATTCCATTATACCGTCCCAAGACTCCTTCTGATTATCTTTTCTTTTTCTAGATCTTTAGGGCTTTTGTTGCTACTAGATGTTACCAATCAATACTTAAATCTGTTAAGGTTCAGTCCTCTAAAAATATACAAAAAGTCCTCCTCTATCCCACCCCTGCCCAGCCTCTGCCCCAGCCACCTTTCTTCCCAGCTCCCTCTCCTATTCTAAGCCAGACTTGTTAAGTTAGGATGTTCACCATCCACACTTTCCAATCATTCCTTAGCCCATACTGCTCTGGTTTCACTCCCACATCTGCTAAAAAGACATCAGTGACGTTTTCACCAACTCTCATGGACATGTGTAGTCTTATTTTACTTGGCTTCCAACACAATGAGACACTTCCTCTTTTTTAAAATATCCTTTTCCCTTGGCCTCTTTGTTGCCTTCAGCCTAATTGGTGGCTCCTGTCTCTTCTTCTTCTTTTTCTCCTTTCTCCTCTTCCTCTTCTCCTCCTCTTTGTTTTCAGAATCCAAGGCCTCACAAATGCCAGGGTAGTACTCTACCAATGAGCCGCACACCCACCTGGCACCTTTTATTGAGATAAAATAGAAGCATTTTGAGCAGAAAAGATCCATAATTAGGAACATGTCAAATTGATGACTGTGAGTGGGGTGCAGTGGTGCATGCCTGTTATCCCAGAGGCTCTAGAGGCTAAGGCAGGAGGATCCTGAGTTCAAAGCCAGCCTCAGAAACTTAGCAAGAGTTTAAACAACTTAGCAACACCCTGCTTCGGAAAAACAAAAAAGGGCTGAGGATGTATTCATTGGTTCAACACCCCTGGGTTCAATACTTG